TATTAAGTACCTGGAAGTACATAAACAAATACCTCAGCAGGTATAAAAACATTAACGATTTATTTATGTTATATTCTTAACAGCAAAAATGGAATTTAAAGTTCAAAATACAGGCGGTGTTTGGCGTTTACTGTGGCAAGAACTTTTCTTAGCACCCAACATGTTGTATGAAATATTGTTTTTAACAATTGACGTAAAAATAGTCATAACTTTGAAAACTTTTTCTGTTATTCATGTGGCGTCGTAGTTCCCAAACAGATACACAAAGCGGTTTTTGTTTTAAATCATCAATTGCAGGTTTCGTACCACAGTATGAGTTTTTTTTATTTACCGTTCTTTATATTTACGGTTACACGGTTACTCTTGACTTGACGTCAAACGTTCCGAAATAATGGGAAAATAAAAAGAACTAATACCGTGGTAAGAAACTTGTAATTTGTCGTAATCATTTAGTGAATAACCACGAAACCCTTAAAAATATGTATTATCAGTCGTAAAATGGATATTTATTTGATATTTACCGACTTAAAAAAAATTAGCAGGTTCTTAATTGAACTGCATTTTTTTTGTACATATATTGCGTGATTAGTCATTTGTGGACCGATTTTGATGATTCTGTTTTGTTGGAAAGAGGGTACCTCAGCATTGGTCCCATTTAAATTTGAAGGAAATATTACACCTCTAAGCGTGGCAAACTAGTGGATAAATCCGAGTTCGTGCACTTTTCGGTTTCAATAAAACTTGGCAAATAGATGTTTCCACGAACTTTTGAAGTTAGTTTTTTTTTTTTTTTTAGTATGCCATGTAATTCCGATGACATAACAATAATATAACCTTGTCCTGGTGCTGCAGCTCCTCTATTATTTACAGTAAAACTATCGTGTTAAAATTTTATTAAATTTCTCGGCTTAAGTTTTATTTACAATATATAAGTGCTAAGAAAAATTGCTGCCCTCGAACAAGCGGATGTTATAGACAATTGACGCACCAAACACCCTGTAACCATAGAAGATAAGTATCGTAACTCCATACCAACGTAGCAGCGCGGTTTGTAAGTTTCCCATAATTGGATGCTGATAAGCAATAACGTAGTCACCACAAAAACTGGATGGATCTCCATCTTAATATCTATTAAGATCCGATACTACCTCAGTCGGAATTAAAATTTCCCCGTACTGAATCTATTTTACGTTTTACGTACTTATATTGCGCAGTCGAGCGGTAGGGACTTTATTTCAGAATTTAATTTTAATACAAACGAAATTAAACCCATTTGAAAAATGTATATCGTATACTATTTCTATTTAGTTCAGTTCATATTAAAAAAAAACATTGGTGTATGTAGTACCAAGTGCCATTTTCAGTGTATATCATCAATTTTACTATATATTTTTTCCAAAATTATTGATTTAACGCTTTCACTGTTATGCCAAATCAACCAAAGCCATTTGAGGTTGTATAGATTCTTAATGCCAAATTGTAGCTTGTCTCGTCTACATTTTACAAAACAGTTGACACAAATCAATTAGGCACGACCACCAAAAAAATCTTTGGGCTCGACTTTCTTAAAACTTTAATCATGTTGGTTATTGCTTATAACCATCCAGTTACGCGATGAACTTGGTCGTCTCATACGCTTTTCATTATTATGAGAATGTGTGCGTCCGTATACGGTGCAAGGCGGGCGTGCACACATATAATCCTCGCTCCTGCTTATGGGTAGAGTTACCTAATACATACTTATCTTATTTTAATATGTTGTAACACTGTCTAAGATAGTTCACAGGCGCTTGTTAAGAAAAAGTGTAATGTTCGTGCTTACATTTTCAGTATGTTTGGCATTTCGCTCACTACCTCCCCCTCACATAAATTCCATAAGTTAACATTATCTATTATTTAAGTTAATTTATATATCGTTTTCAAATAAATCACTCTTTTGTAGACGGTAAATGCCATATTATAGGAATTAAATAGTTTTATACACTTTAAAAAAAATCGAAATCTACACAGTAAAGGGTACTTCCGAAACGTCGTACACTTAACTATTTTCGTTATAACTTAATCCGTATTGGTAAAATCAATAGCTGTTAGGCAGGCACACACTGCAGTTCCAACACTACATTATACTCACATGCGCGCGCGCACACAACGTAACACTTAACTATAGAACTATATCGTATAGCGATAAAGACACGTAAAACAGTGTTGTAATATTATTGTATATTTCCTAAATTTCCATTAGAAAAAAATCTCTTAAAATATATCTCAATTCTTCTATAAACTCCCTGATCACGAAGACTATATAATATGGATATATAAATGTATATATTTCTCAGAGATATAAATAGAACATTTCCTTACAAATCTAAATAGGAAGAACTTTTATAAATGTAAAAAGAGACCGTATTAATTGCACACAAGAGTAGAAATTCTAATATGAAACAATACGCTGATATAATAACACACCACTATAAATAAAGTGACGCAAAGGAAAAGTTATTTTTTCGGGAAGTTCAGACGTTTTGTTATATTTTGTCACTTTCCCAAAAAAATTACTTTTTTGAGTTACACCACTTTGTATTTTATGGTGCGATTTGTTGTATAATTCTTTTAAAATATACTCGCTACATTTATATACAAAACTCAAGTCGTAAATATAAAATATTTCATCTAGATAGATGTAGATTATGCTATAAAATAATTTCTCTACTACAATATGATAAGTTTACGATGCGACCAAGTAATGATTTGTACACAAAAGTAATAGTTACACTTACATTATTAGAGTAATAAGTACTCGAGCACACTTTAAGTCACTCACATTACTATACATAGGGTAAATGGAATGTTTAGTATTGGAAGAATATTATGTTAGTTAAAAAGGAATAGCTCTTCGCTAAAAGTGTTAAATTAAGCAGATCTCAGTACTAAGTAGTCAGGAATTTTATTACGTCACGCTTAATTGCAAGAGGTAACTTATTGGTGTTAAAACTCGACGTTATACATGCAAATATATAGGGTGATAGGTTAAACGAGATAAATATTTAAAGAAGCGAATAGATGATTTCTAATCCGAATAACGAATGTGAACTGGCAATCGGTACTATCTCAATTTTGACAACTTTACAGGTGAAGAGGACAAATTGTTTGCCTCATTTATATAGCATCTGGTTTATTAAATAAATATACGTAGTTTTTAAATATTTTTATTACACATGTATGTATGTATGTACACTACCATATTTTTTTCTTCGTCCTGTAAAGTTGTCAAAAGCTGTTCACAGTCGATATGTACGAAATGTCGTGCCCTTTTACAAATACTGACACACTCTTAATTTGGGCTGCTCTATGAAACAGCTGAGAGCGGTAAGGAATTGAACTGCCATGCTACGAGCGCGTGCCGATCCTTCTTACTTAAAGGGTATTAATACTATTAAAAATAATTCATTATTCCCTTCATACTTTGATCCTAGCTTAGGACGGACAAAATTGAGTCCTGACATCAATGTGTAGGATGGAGCTCACCGACTAAGGAACATTTCTCGGTACAGGTCCCTGCCACGACTAACAACATAATTTGCACCGAATTGTGTCCCAATATTCCTCGTTTGTGTAGTGATATGGCATCGATATGAACATCACTGCACTCAACTGAATTTTCCAGGTTACACACGTAATTACACCGATATATAACACGCAAAACAAATACGCGACGGTGACGTCCCGTCCAACACGAGAGTAAGCGAGCTAACCGGACGGTAGCGGATGGCCGGCGGCGGCGCTGTCGACGGCGACAACGGGAATCGGGCGGGTGTGCGAAACGGGTGAGAAAGCGTGCGCAGAGGCCAGTGACTTTGCAGGGCACTCGCTACATGTTTCCATTGACGCGGTATCTCGCGCAGAGTATTACGAAATGTTAGAGACAGTATTTTCCTTAGAGAAAAATATTTACAGCTACTCGTCTCTTTAAATATTTATCTTGTTCAACCTGTCACCCTGTATATTACTGGTAGAGTGTAAATTTTAACTTACCATTATGCATTTTGTATTCAATTTAGCATACGATGAAACGTCTATAACTTTAATGGACCTGTGTCGATCAATCAATCCTGATAACCCGGATTGAACATGACCCAAGCGTAAAGTGATCGGGTAAATGATTCGATCCTACGTTCGATGCTTTAGTGCGTCATTTGTCGCTCACGATCACGAATGTCGATAGAGCAAATGTTCGACTCAAACAAACAGTGTAAAGAGCGAGATGGCGAACCAGAGTCCCATACCCACGGACTTCACGTGAGAACTAACGACACAAGAATAGTTTTAAAGGAATATGATGTGGATCGTTGAAAAACCTCCAAAATTATAAGTCCAATTTTGCGGGCATGACCCGCACTGGGTCGAACAAAAATGATCGAATCAGATGCCCGTGACCCGGATCATTGGGTGCAGATATTGTCCGAAACATTTTGATTCAATTGAACGCGATCGAGACAGCTTTACATTTTAACCTCTTTTCAGTTCTTAGCATTAAATATTGGACGTCAATTTGGACATGCGAGAGTTTTATCCTTACTTTGGAGGTTACGAATTAAAATAAAACATGTAAAATTCCATCTATGTGTATAAACAGTAGATTATATATCTAGTGTGAGGATTGAAACCCAGCAGTCCACGATAGAGCTGTCCAGCAGTTCGTGGTTTACTTGTTTGTGGCATCTCATGAAAATTTATAGATCGTGGTTATAATTACGACCACGTTATATTGACTTGGCAGATGCAAACGAATCTACACTCTCGGATACATAAATTGAGCCACCTTGTATTTTTATTCTTAAAGGGCTAGAATACATCGAAAAAATTTTCGTCGGTTTTTACAAATTCTAATTTTCAACAATGACGGTGATGACGTTTAGTACCTATGATAAAGTTTGAAAATTGCATAATAGTTTTTGATCAATGAAACACGTTAACTGAAAATCATAAATGGTTTTTTTTTTAATCTATGATTATCTAGCAACATTGGTTAAAAAGTCATCCGGTACCACATGCTTAGCGAAGCGATTTTGTCATTAGGTTTTTATTTTTACTTAGAGACAAAAATTGCGAGTTTTTGGCTCCTATTTAATTAGGTTTCTTCTTTTAACATTTATTATAATTTTATCATGCCAGGCTTTGTGAATGCGTTACTCAATGGCAGGTTTCTTATTTTAGGTGTCTGTACAACCATAAAGTTGTTGCCAATGAAATGAAAAATTTCTAGCGATGGCTAGAAACCTTCGGCCATATGACTCACACTTACAATTTTTGATGAACCCTTAAGTTTAGAAAGGTTCGCGCCTCAAATGGATCACACATCGTTCGTAACTTGAAATGCACCACATTATGATGCATAAACAGAGAACGTGTTAAGCTTTGGGCATTTAACACTGAAAATGCAAAGTGACTCGAATGTATGGGGAGTATATTTTACGCCTTGACAGCCACTTTACGATGACATCATTAAAAATGTATTTACGTACAATAGAAAAAAATCTGAACGTTATGAATTTGTATACAATGTGTTGAATTCCTCGCCACAAAAAATTTCAATAAATATTCTCAAATTATTGATATATCTTTAGATAGGTCTTGGGTTACTGGATTACGTAGTATAAAATGTTAACTACAAGTTAGTAGATGCTAAGGCGTTAAAGCAGGGTTCGAAGTGATAATTATCATTGATAATTGGCACGATAATTATCTTGGTAAATATAGTTGAATCTTTACCGTTTGTCAGTTTAAGGGTGAGGCCTGACAAGCGTAATTATGTGAGAAGTAAGACCTACTTTCAGTCAGACAGACAACTCATTTTGCGTCGTCGCGTGGCATAAACAGGATTTTTATGTGACACCGAATGCAACGTATACAACTCACAAAATTACGTTACGGCCTCATCCTTATTCAAAAATTAACTGACAAAACTTTGAATCAGATTGAATAATTATTGGACATATATTTGGATAGTTAGCAGATAATTATAATAATAATTATCAATGAAAATCAATGTCTTGATAACGTGGAACCCTGCATTAAGTTAGTTACGTTACTTTTGTTGAAGGCATGCCAACGTTTGTACTTGACGCACTACAGAGCACAGTACGAACTGAAAATACAGCTTATCTTTCTACCCTCGGCCTCCCTCGAGGCTCGGCTTCTACGAGAGACTAGATACCGAAAACGTTTGTCAAGAAATCGGTCATTACATAGGTCCTTTTGATAAATATTTATCTTAAAAAAAATCTCTAAGACGACACACGTTTCGCTATTAAATGCAAATTCATGGAATTTAATATTATTAGTAAGACGGACCTGGTTACATGGAGGGCGCCTTACTTATTATGCTACTTAGTTTTCCGATTACAGCACACCGCACCAAGAGAACTCAGTTCCATTAAAAATGTATCCATTACCGAAGTTACTGTTGCGAATATTGTAATTTGAGTAGTTGCATGACACGTCTAGTGCTCATCTGAAGTTAATTCTACGGTAATTTAGGCCAATATGTTCGATAACCTGAGACGCATAATATTTATTATGAAGGAGAGCGTGTCCGAGCCCCTGGCTCGTGGACACAGCAACATACTAATATAACGTATGTTTACGGTAACCATTTACAATCTACTTGCACATTTTAATAAAAACACGCATAATTAAGACTTACATTATGTAACGCTTTTACAGCACTATTAAAATATATTACGAGATTTCAAACAACACGCTTACAAACTATGGTCACTTATCTAAGACCCCAACACTGATCCCTGTCAAAGTCGTCTGCGTCCTTGCGACGGGAACGGAGCAGCGGCAAAAATAAATATCTAGTGTGGCACTCGACAGCACGGCCTCTGCGCACCACTGTCGGTAGCCGCCGCGACGCCATTCGTACAACTATACTAACAAAAGTGAGCAACCTTCGAACGCAACAGATTTCCCCATCGGACACCTCCCACAATGTAAATACATCCAAAATATACATCGTTATGCACTCCAAAAAGAGCAGAGCGTCAGCGACCAGAGGAGACGTCCGCAAACTGTGAGAATCATCACCGTTTACTCCTCACAGCCTTCGTGGATATCCGGCAGTCAGACCACAGACCGACCCGTACAGGCTTAATACTTTTATTTACAAAAGTTTACCTATCCTTGGATTCTGTGATTCGACTCAACGATACTTCTTAGTTAGTAAGTAAGCTAGGGATCTGGTAGCTTTAGCGCTTGGAGTAGGTATCGACTTTACCTTACTCACTAAAACGTATCGGGAGACGTAGATCGGGTGTGGTGCGGGCGCGTCTGTGGCGGTCACTTGCGCGCGCCGCGCGTCACCACGGCCTGCAGCGCCGCCAGCTGACTCAGCAGCCCCGCGTTCTTCTGCTCCAGACTCTCGACTCTCTTCCTATAGTCGGTGTTCTCGGATATCAGAACTTCAACCTTCCGTTCTAGCTGGTCCATGTACTCTTTTTTCTTGCGCCTGCTTTCTTGTGCTGATATCTGTAACGAGATTATTCATCATCATCATCCACTCAACAACCAGGCTCCTTTCTTGCGAGGATTTAGGCAATAATAATTATTAGGACTGTACTCCTTTTTTTGCGACATACACTTTTCGTTACGGTGTTTTCCTTCATCAAAAAGCTCATGGTAAATTTCAAGTTAAATTTAGCACATGAAGTCCTAGAAACTCAAGAGGCGCGAACAAGGATTCGAAGCCACGGCCTCTGCTTCAGAGGTGGTAGTCATTAGGCTACCGTGAAGTAAATAGAATAATCAATCGATTAGTGAAAGGTAGACAATTTAACACAGACACTTGTTTATAGTGAACGGTAGTTGATTCTAAGAAAATTTTTGTGACTAGGTAGTGTTAATTACCTTGTTTTTTATTTTCCTCCTAATCTTTTTGAGGGACTTTTCTTCGGCCTTGGTCAGGGGCAGACGTGTCGGCACAGGGTATCCTTCGGCCAAAAGTGTGCGTTTTTCTTCTTCTGTTAGCACCAGTGTGCCTGTTGATCCTTTCTGCAAATTGGAAAAAACGACGATGCAAAATCGTTCTTATCCTCGCTGATACATTTAGTAAGAAGGAGACGTGCTAATTCTTAGTGACATTTGTATCAGACAGTTAAAGAGAAATACTTACCGGTTGGCTGCTTATGAGAGGCGTATTGATAGGTTGCCGCGAGTGTGAGTGAGACACATAGAGATGGGCGCGGCGAGCGGGCGCGGGGGGTGCGGGAGCCGCCGCTGCCGCCTCTTCGCCACGCGCAGGAGACAGCGCGCCCTCGCTGTCAGATGACGAGAGGGAGGATGGTGGCGTTGGCGGCAAGTTGAAACCTGGAATTCGCAATGATTACTTATTATAAGGCTAGGTATTTCAATGCGAGCCTATATATAAAATAAGAACATTTGACACAGATCCGACGTCGACAAGCGCCCGATGGCGTCTGACGGGGTCGAGGGCGGCGAAGCGTGCCGTTAAACCGCTGGGCAATTTGCAAATTTTGGAAAAATGGGAATTTAATAACTATAGGGCTTCAGTTGAAAGCCAAAACTTAGCAGGTTCTCTGTAATACTTAAAGAGAAATATCTCCATAAAAAAATTATGTACAAAGCTAAATATCTTAAATAATACGTTTATACTAAAAAATATATATATAAGTCTAAAAAAGTAAATTTTATCCTGTTTTCTGGATACAAGATATTTATTCGCCGAAAAATGTAGTTAACATTGCAGGTCTTATAGTATATTAGATCGTACATTTCACCATAAACTTGGCATGCGAATGTTTTACACCATTCTGTTTTCATTTATGATGTAGAATGCATTAAAGTTAAATTAATACAATGGAATAAACAAACAACAACAATTGGAATTTAACCGGAAGTCAAAAATACAACATGCAACGGTTACATTTTATATTTCATGTTATGAAGTAAAAAAAATGATCAATATTGTAGTAGCATTGGGTAACTAACAAATCATGCAATTTCATTTTAAATTGTCTACAATTTATTTCGTAAACAGCGTCTGGAAATTTATTAAATAATCTGGGATTAGTATTTTTTAATGCAGTTGCTCAAAACGTGGTATGTTTCGTGCCACAAATCGTGTCAATTTTTCGCACTAGTGCTTTTACTTTTCCATTTTTTTTAAATTTACTGTTGTTTCAAGTCTTAAACATAGAACTAAAGAGGTTGTACATTTATTTAATATTTATGTGCTTTGTGACGTAAGTCATTCGTCATTAAAACTTATTTGTTTATATTGCATAGGTGTTTTATAAAACAACGGGTTACATTTAAAAATACCAAAATATTTTCCATAAAGATGGCTGATTGAGTATTAACAATGATCGGAGGTGAGTATTACGCGAGAGAGAATTTTATTTTACTTTCAATGTAGTTTTGTCGCAAATGTATAAAAAAACGTCGTTTGATACACGTGCGGATTTGTAATTTTCACTTGTCTCTAGTCTCGGGACTCGTGAATAATGGCTAACTTTCCGCACTTGTATCAAAAATAACTATTATCCTATCGTATAAAAATATATATTAAGTAAAGATATCCTTACGTGTATCGTATATTTTTTTGTAAGACCGTTATTTCAGAATAAATACCCAAGCCATTTGATTTAGTAAAATAGTTTTTCCTGCTTCTCCGCCTGTGACTCGCCATAAATATTTTTAATGACCATTTGCTTGGTGGTCATGTGGAGCGTAAGGCATGAAAATCGTCATATGTTTTGTGATACTATATCCTATATACAAAATGACGTTAGATACCTGAAGCAGTGGAGGCCGAGCTGGTCACTTTGATGGAGAGTTTGTTGGAGGAGAGCGAGTTGGCGAGACGTGGCGCGGCACTGAGAAGCAGCTGCGGCACGCCCGCCGCGCCCACCTTCTGCAGCACCGCTTGCGGCATATGGATTGTGCCCGTCTGCAACAAACACATTATTGTTTTCAGAAACACTGCAATATGGAAGCAATAGACATGAAATAGTATGTGTGATAGCAACGCCACAAACACCATGCTCTGTTGTTCTTTTAACTACCGATTTTTATGACAGTAGTGGTCCCATATAATCTTGAAGAAAATGTTCCACCTCTAAGGGAGGCTGGTCACGCATGAAGACTCATTTTTATAAATAGCGCCTAAATTTGATTATACGGAGCAATTATTTAAATGGTTCATTTTGCTATGTTCCAATTGAAGGCGTTTTCCCCTCACAATATACTTTAAGCAGTGAGTAGTGATTTTTTATTTCCTGTATTTAGTCCCGTACGTGGTCCTAGACCGAAGCCAGATTTTATCTACCTTGATTCAAGGACGTACTTAACTGCTAGTCGTGGATGTAGGCTGGTGAAGGTGTACATAGTACCTTTTTAAATGTTTCACTATATTGAAACGGTTGGTGACTTGACAAGCTATAATTATTAGGTTCATCAACAGTTTCATAAGTGAGAGTATTTTGACTAGACGCCACAACATGGCAACTAGTTACAGATGAAACATATTTGTATTTTAATATTTAAGAGCTATAAAACACGAATACAAGGATATAAAACAATACAATTACATAGAAGACTGACGGAAGATAGGTGAATTGAGACCTAGTTTACTTCTTCTAAGTAATAGTTTCCCAAAGTGGTCCCTACTGCCCCCGGGTGGGCATTGAAGAGTTTTATTATTGTTTTATAATATTAAGTGACGGGTCGAGCAAGTCGTGTGACTGGTGGTAAGCTACACGCGTGTCCATATCAGAGACATAAGTTGACAAGTCCCATGGGCCTGTAATTTCACCAGCACCCTTATCCTTCAAAACCGGAACACAGTAATGCTGACATTACTGCATGGCGGCAGAAATAGGTAAAGTGACAGTACTTACCTGGACGAACTCTTTCACAAGGAGATTTACTGTTACTAAAACTCTTTCACGAGCCCTTTTGATCCTATATTTATTGGAAACTGGCATTTTACTAGTAATAGCCGTGACAGCGTTTGACCTACCGCCTCTCAAGCAGACGCTGTAGGTTCGAATCCGGGCTTACACCTCTGAGATTTCAGAAATTATATGCCAAATTTAATTAAAAAGGGACGTATAAATGGGTTGATGATGATAGCAAATTTAAGACGTAAATAAACTTACTTTTCTTGCCCGAAGTATCGATACCTACATTTCGAAAAAAACTTCCGCTGTTACTAAAAAAGCTAGTGATGAAGACACTCAGTCTTTTAAGGCATTTTATAACGACTCGATTCCATTTTACAGGACTGGACTCTAAAATTAAGACTGGGGGTTCGAGTTTTTATTAATAAAACTCAGTCGTTATACTATAAGACTCAAAAGACTTAAACGACTTGAAAGACTTAAACGACTCGAGTTGTTTGCCTTTGCAAACCATTTTATGTCTTATTGAACTCGAAGTTTATAAATAAAAATGACGTAAGTAATAGTATGTAATAAATAATCACGTTTATTTACTTATAATAAAAATCGTAAAATAAATATCTTGTGGGTAGAAATAAAATCACGCCATACGGCTCATGACTCGCGATTCCCGAGGCTATGAGGCGCCAGTCGTTTTAGTCCTATAAGTTTTTTAAGCTTCCTGGGGTTAAAAGACTAGACTAGTCGTGAGGCGTTGAAAATTAGTCAAGGTTTTTTAAAAGGCCTTAAAAGACTGAGTCTCTTTCGTCTAAAAAAACTAGTAGTTTACAGCACATTACTGCATAAATGGAACTTGTTAACTTATGTCTGTGGTGCATAGGGTGACGGGCGCCGTGGCAGTGCCCATAGCATCTTTGCGATTTAAAGCTCTAAATGCAGTTACAGTGCCATTTAGAGCTATGTTCGTACCGACACTACACTGCAATGTTTTATAGATAGGGTTATTTGTGAATGTAAAAGCTCTCCCTAACAGTCAATGAAAACAATAAGAATGAAACCTGCATGTTGAAGAAGATGCAGAACCTTTAACCGCTCACGCGATGCGCTCCTCCTACCGCAAAATGGCGGCTATTTGGTTTCACAAATTAGAAAAGCATTCAGTTTAAATTAATAAGTTTGTATAAATAAAAATTATTATTCTGCATTGCTAAATAAATACCCTCTGTACTACCAACAAAAACATCTCAAATAAATTGCAGTAATACACCGCAATTCCTGCACTTAAAAAGCACTAATGAAATTTTTGGTGGACTTGGATAAATATGATAATATTCCGTTTGAGTGGTTCTAACATTTACCATGAAATTATTCCTAGTATAAGTATAAGTATAGTTTATAAACATTTATATTCAGGGTAAACTTAAAAAACGCTACTTACGGTATGTTTTCAATAAATAAACACCGAAATCACCAGCCCAAAACAATAACACACACGATTGTCGTGACGTATTTTTGAAGTTGTTTATTTTTTTTTAAATGACAGACCCAGGCATTAAAAACTTTATGGTTTGCTAGAGTAGTTACCGAAATAGCAATTAATATTAGTTCTTTTACCTGTTATTACTTCATATCCGATAAATCGGTATAAAATCATCATCGGCACCTCTAGGTGTGGTATGCGTCTACGGCTGCATGTATCGTGTAAGCGGATAAAAAACGTGTTGAAGCCCCAACTCGCGCCTAATAGTGTGACGCGTAACGGGGTGATGATCTTGACATACAGCTTACTATGACCATAACAATCATCGAACTGGTTCAGGAGTCGTGAGTTCGTGCTTGGCGCAATTGCTGGTTAGGTAATTTTAATTAGTTACCGTTGCGTGAGACCAAAGTGCTGTGACTTATATCTATTTGCAACATCATTTTATATTCGAGCTGCCAGTGAAATCTAGACTAACGCTAATTGAGATTCGATGAAATTCTTTCGTTTATTGAACACGCGATGACGTTAAAATTGCTTAATATTACAATTTCTTTTATTTTTTTTATGATATCAAGTGACGGAACAAGTCGTGCGCCTGGTGATAACCGACACGATTTGTCCATAACAGTTGCAGTGCAGTTTCGATTTTCGTCCATTATGGCAAACCTCAAGGGTTATCTATCAGTGGTCCGAAATGACATTTTCCAGAAGAAATAACGCTTGGTCGCAATTTCATAACCTCGAAAGTAATTTTGAGAGGAAAATGTTTTTTCTTTTAAACCTAACTTAACCTAACCTAACCGAATGTAATCGTGTCTTTGCGATAAACAATCAACATATTATGAAAGAACAACTGTTTCGTTATAATTAGGTTTACGGTGTAATAAAAATTGGAACAAACTTGATTTCGGACAAAAAAAATTTCGAGTTTGTTTTTCGAAATTTCGAGGTTGTGATAGATTACCAAGCTCAAGTTAACGACACCCGTCAATTGTTTCGAATTCGGGCTGGCCAATCGGAGCGCTGTTGTCACCGTAATGATTTGGCAGAATAGTGTGTGTGTGTGTGTGTGTGTGTGTGTGTGTGTGTGTGTGTGTGTG